TTTATTCTGTCCCCGTTAACTATAAGGATGTCTACTTTGGATCCATTTCTCTCCACGCTCCATGTGACTTCACCATCCACAGGCGAACGACAACGCAGATTAATCTGCTGTGTCTCATTAACAGCTTTATGGATTAAATCTGGAAAATAAAAAAAAATAAAAACAAATTTTCATAATTACATTTTAGCATTAAAGTCATAAAACATTTTCAAATAAGCAGAAGCTAAATATAAATTATAAATGCAGTTTTATATCTACAGAAGTAGCTCCCACCTGTCACACATTGGGATTTGAGCACAAAACACATTTCCAGTTCTAAATAGTCTCCACGTCTAATTAAACTTTGCCAACACATAAATGGTTATAGCTCATTTAAATTTACAGATAATGAGGTAAAGTTTATGTCATCCTCCACACATGATTCAAGTAGTAACACATCTTATATGATGTGACTGTGGCAGCCATCATGAATTAGACCTTTAAATGAAAATGTTCGTACCTGCAGTGACACGAAAAGCCAGAATATAAACCAACATGCAGCAGAGGAAGTTCGCCCTCATCTCTACAGGCGCTGAACTGACTGGCTGAGCTGTGACCACAGCTTCTATCTGATCTGAGAGCAGAAAGTCATCCGTCTGAGCATGCTCACAGCTTTTCTGCCTCTCGTGACTCCATTCTAACATTTTTTTTTTTTAATTAAACTTGCCATGCGTCAAGTTCATCTATCGTCACACCCATAACTCAAAGACTTGCAGTAACTAGCAGTCAATTTGATTCTATTTTTATACTTTTAATGCAATTAAAATGGCATTGTTACGCAAAACCTCAAACAAATGATGAAATTCTGACGTGTAGCCCTCAGTAGCTTGAATACGTTGACTTTTCAACAGCTGCCTGTTCAGACACAATCCCACTTTGTACAAAAATCACAGTCTATTAATAGGAAAGGGGAAGTATGAGATTGTCATTACTGAATGTTTCTATACAATGGCAAAATTAGTTTTCTTAATTTTAACCAATCACACCAGAGAGACACCCAGGTGGAGCAGTGAGCTAGTGCTCAGGGAACAATTGGGGATTAGATGTCTTGCTCAGGGACACCACGACATGTGGAAATGACTGGGAGTCGAACCGCGACTTTCTGGTCTAGGGTCGACTGCCTCTACCCCGTCTCAGCCCTCTGCAACTGTAATATCAGTTACTTATTTAAAAATAAAGTATTATGAAGAAAAAGTAGAAAAGTAGCAGCGAACTTAAAGAAATGAAAGTTTATGTCAGTAGTTGTGTTTTCTTCCACATCAATGGTTTATATCCTGTAGTGCTGAAATGTTGCACGGATAGATTTGGAATTATGTTCAGGAATCCATGTTTTGGAGTAATATTTTGCCTTTTTCAATGAGGTTGAAGTTTTTGTTGTCATGGGCAACTGAGTTGAGATGTTGATCTTCTCAACGTTCTAAGTTTCTTTCAGCTGCTCATTTCTTCTGGGGTCACCACAGCGAGCAAACTCACATGGAAGATTTGGCAATTTGTTTTATTCCAGATGCCCTATCTGACACAACCTGGGCTCAAACCTGCAACCTCAAGGTTACAAGACCCTGCTGGCACTGATCACCAAGCTACGCAGCATTCGTCACTCTTTTCAACATGAATGTCAATATGGTGGCACCTACAGGCCAGCTTTTTATTTTGCTCTTGTGTGATCAAGTGTCTGCAGCAGCATTAATGTCTTTGAGAGTCCCAGAATAACCTCCTGGCCTGGAGACTTTCTGTGTGAACTTTCCAATCCTTCTAGTGCACACATTTTTGTTTTGTTTTTCTTTCCTTCATGTACTCCGGTTTCCTCCCATAGACCAAGACATGCACGTTTGGTTTTACACGTATTGGTAAATCTAAAATTGTCTCTAGGTGTGGGTGAGAGCGTGGGTGGTTGCCTTGTTTATCAACCTGTTCAGCAGACAGCATGAAAAATAGACAGGATACAAACAATGACCAGGCACTTGATTACACTATGAATTTAATGTGTTTAGTAGTGTTGTAATACGATTAGATCTCTTTGAAGCTCTCTGTGGTCAATAGCGTATCTATCATTAATAAGCTTCGTTAAAAACAACACTTTATTAAAAACACTCTTGAAAGAAGGAAATATAAGTGCTATTTACAGCTGCTCATTTAAAACTATCTAAACTTATTTCACTGTGATCAGTGAGCACAAAGAAAACCCAAGCGTAAAAACCGATCAAGATGCATATGTGCACACAGCAAATTAAGCCTGAGCCAGAGTCTTGATGTTGAATCTGTTTTCTGATATACATTGGTGAAGATTCTCAGTCATCCAGGACATGGTAAATTCAAAAAAAGTTAAAAAACAATTGGACTTTATTTGTAACAGAAGACGTTTCGCTTCTCATCCGAGAAGCTTTCTCAATTCAAAGAGCAGAGCGTGTGGGGTTCAGGTTATAAAGCAATAAGATACGCACATACATATGCAGACTGACCTATCACACCTCACTGTAGGTGGCTGTTAAGGTCTTTTTTAATCTAATTCACAGATGAGGCCCCTCTGGTCCCATCTGATAGGTGTGAAACTGGCTGGGTATCAGTCCTAAAGCTGCATTATAAGTTTCTGAAAATTGAAATCTCTGTTTAAATATGGTTTCTCTCTTTTTACGTAAATGCATCCTTCACTCCCCTCTCAAACCATCTGCCTTGGTCCAAAATGTGCAGCTTTAGGACTGATACCCAGCCAGTTTCACACCTATCAGAGGGGCATCCTCTGTGAATTAGATTTAAAAAAGACCTAACAGACACCTACAGCGAGGTGCGATAGGTCAGTCTGCATATGTGTGTATCTTATCTCAGCTTTATAACCTGAACCCCACACGCTCTGCTCTTTGAACTGAGAAAGCTTCTCGGAAGAGAAGCGAAACATCTTCTGTTACAAATAAAGTCCATTTGTTTTTGTCTTGAACTTTTTTGAGTTTTCTGATACGAATGTGTGCCCAGACCCTTGTACTTGAACAGGAAACAAACAAAAACTAAATATGTGTTAAAACTAGCTGGAAATTGCACTGAATGACAGCAAATGCTGAGGTGACAGGTTATGATTCTAAAATAAAACGAGCTGCAGCTATCTACCGCACAAGTGCAACAAAATAAACCAGCGACTCCACTGCCACGAAAACAACTGTGGTGCAAAGTAACGAGCCCAGCTTTTAGATGGCTGAAACAGACCTTGAAAAATGCACTTTTGACAGTGAGGATGCAGGTTTCAATTCATCCCATGTTCACAGATTATGTAACAGCTCCCACCCTATAACACTAAACACAACTTAAAAGAAAATGGATACAAATGACAATAAAAACAGGCAATTCTAAAGTTTATTTATTATTTTATATATATATATATATATATAGATATATATATATATATATATATATA